AAGGGTGTTTTTATCTAGCAATCCTCTTACCTCTAAGCTCCTTCTCATGTTTAAAAAATACTAAAAGTAGACCAAAAAAATGGCAGTTTTTGGAAAGAGGAAAAAAATATTGATAGGAGAGGTGTAGAGGACTATTCCAATTTATTATTAGATATATCTTGGTCAAATACACCTTCATGAAAAATTTTAAGACCTGGGGGCCTGAGTGAAATTGGTTTCTTTAGAAACTTCTAAAATTGTACAGCATATCTGGAGAAACTTCTAGAATTGTACAGAATTTTTTAAAAAAAATCAGTTATATTTGTTTAATATCATTCTTAGCAGGCATTTCCTTTCTCTTTCAGTGGTTCTCAATCTTCCTGATGCCGCGACCCTGTAATACAGTTCCTCATGTTGTGGTGATCCCCAACCATAAAATTATTTTCATTGCTACTTCATAACTGTAATTTTACTACTGTTAGGAATCGTAATGTAAATATCTGATATGCTATGTGTGTTTTCTGATGGCCGCGACCCACAGGTTGAGAACCACTGCTAGCTTCTCAAAAGACCAGCCTATCATACCAAACACAGATGCAGTGTTTCAAAGGTACTTATTCTCAAAGCGCACAATCTGAATTCAAAGTTTCATGAATGATTACCTGTAATGTGTTAAGTAAATGGTGGGTAAGCTGAGACACTTTGCTGACAAGATGATTCTGATTAAGAGGCACCAGTCGGCAAGCTTGGACAAGAAGAGTACTGACATCCTACCAAAAACAAAAACAAAAAAAGACAATGAAAGGTGGTACAGTCACGTGAAGAACCCCCTCTGCAACAGGCAAAATAAAAGTGAATGGTTTACATTCAAAATTGAGGCAGAAAGTAGGAAATGACAGCACAAAAATAGGATGTGCTGGAAATAATTCATATGGTTTTTGTCAGGTTAAAGATTCCAGAATCTACATAAGTAGAAGCAGTATAATTAATAGCCAAAGAAAGGCTTCCATAATATAAAAGCACACACTGAAGTAAAACATACCAAAAAGTAGCAAACCAGATTTTCTTTTTTTAAAATATTTTTATTGATTTCAGAGAGAAAAGTAGAGGGAGGGAGGAAGAGAGGGAAAGAGAAAGAGAGAAATATCAATGATGAGAGAGAATCATTGGGCTGCCTCCTGCACTACCCCCAATGGGGACTGAGCTCACAACCTGGGCATGTGCCCTGACCAGGAATCGAACTGTGACCTCCTGGTTGATAGGTTGATGCTCAACCTCTGAGCCATGCCAGTTGGGCAGCAAACCAGATTGTCATTGCCACTGGGAAAATCAGAAATGACGCTTGCATGAATTTAATGTAAAATTAGGGAATTCTAAAAAAACAAAAATTGCACCATTCATTCATTGATGTTTATTGATTAAAAAGGCTCTGAGCACCTACTATGTGCCAGGTCTTTGTGCTCCAAACATAAACAAACATATTTATGAGCCCTAAAAAGCTCACCATCTAATGAGGGAGATGAAATACAAATACTTAAAGTGACCTAAGCGCTGAAAGAATGAAGTACAAACTCTGGGATAATGGTAATTAGGGAGGCCTTGTGGAAGTGAGTTTTCAGCAGAATGTGGAATGATTTGAAGGATGAGTACCAACCTGTAGACAGACAAGGCCTGACAGACATTGGAAGCAAAGGGAATGGAGTGCGAAGACTTGGAAGTACTCATGGGAGTGAAATACCAACAGGTGCTTGCGGAACAGTAAGTTGTAAAAGACTGCACACAGGGCACAGGAAGAGGAGTTACAGAACAGGAAACTGGAAAGGCACCTATTTTTGGTACAAAAATATCCAATCATACAAATAAGACAAAAGTCCCCAGCTTCTCCCTTAATTCCACTCTGCTCCCTAGTAACACGAACTCTTATTTTGTTGTGAACTCTTTGTATCTATAAACGTACATACACTCTTAAATCTCCCCGCCCTATACTGGTCTCATACGGTATGAACTGTTCTGTAATTTGCCTTGAGCATTTACTAATATATATTGAAGATCTTCCCAAATCAACAGTTCTACTTCTCCAGTCAGATTTTCTTCCACTACAGAAAAGATCACTCTGTCGGTGAAGCAAAGAATGGTTTGTAGGAGGGCTGGATGGAGGCAGGCGATAAGTTAGAGGAGACAAGTGGGGTAGTCCAGGAAGAGTCAGCCCCCTGGCCCGAGGGCCTAGGCATTGGCATTTGGTATGGAGAGGAGGGATGGACAGAGGAATATGAGGAGATAGATTGTAAAGAATCCAGGTTGGACAGGCTCCGGAAGGAAGGGAAGGGGAAGAACCGGTTTGCACCTGTGGGACTTGGCAGACTGTGCATGTGCATGTGTGTGTGTGTGTTTAGGGGATGGTATGTGGACTCACTGTTAGGAACTGTCAAGTCCGAGGTGCCTGTGAGCACCAGTGTGTTGGGGGAATGCAGTGAACGGTACCCAAGGCCTGCCGTGTGAATAACATCACGCAAAGTACTTCCAAAGGGGTGGCAGAGGGAGGCAGAGCTGGCGCGAAGGACCGGAAAAGGCAGGGACTTGTGACAGACGGAGGTTCCAACCCCAGCTCTGCCTTGGCCAGCAATGACACTGGATCTTCGTGAGCCTCCGTGTTTTTACCAGTGAAACAGACTTAATAATACCCACGCTCTCAAGTCCCTGGAACCGCACACGGAAAAGCAGAGGACGTGGCCCCTGCACCGTGCACTCAATAAATAACTAGCAGCAGGGAATTTTATATACAGAGTATTCTGGACGCAGGGAGCGGAGCGGGACGGGGAAAGCAGAGATGACACCTGCGTCGGGATCAGGGCAGAAGTCACCCAGTCGGGCTTGGAAAGATGCAAGTGTGGCCAGCACTGCCGGGTCTCCCAGACAGAGGGAAGGCCACGGGCCATGCTCGGAAGGGGCACCAGCCTGGAACGAAGGAATGCGAAGTGGGAGGGGCTGGGGGGTAAGAAGAGCCCGGAGAGGCAGCCGGGAGCTGCGGGCTAGGGACCCCGAGGAGTGGGGCCGGGGCCGCAGACGCCCGGCGTCCGCCCCGCCGGCACCCCGCCTACCTCCGGGGCCACGCCGCCGCCCGCGCCGTAGTTCTCGGAGATGAGCTGGTCCAGGAGCAGGTGGATCTCGGTGCGGGCGGCGCTGCTGTCGTCCGGGCGCAGGGCGCGCAGCCGGGCCGACAGGCGGCGGAAGCCAGCGCCCTGCTCTCGGGGCAGCTCCCGCGGCGCCTCTCGCGGCGGCCCGCCCAAAGGGGAGCAGGCCACTTGCACGGTCGCCATGTTTCCGACGTAGAACGTGGGGGAGTACTTCCGGGGCATCCCGGGCCCCGCGCTCCACTTCCGGGCACGCCTTATTCAGAGCAGAACCCGAAGCCTTAGGGTTCCGGGGGGAACAGATCCCGAGACTGGAGCTAAACACCTGCCATATTTAGCTCGGAGACTTGCCCCCGTTCACCTCTCCCTGGGCCCTGACGGAAGGTGGAGACTGTGTTTGTTCTCCCAGAAAGTTTGCTCCTGAGCAGGGATGACGTTCCCGTTGAGTACCAGCGCCTCCGATTCGGGCTGGAGTTGGAGGGGGGCCATCGGGGATGGCAGTGGCAGAAACTGCTGGTTCTACTCCATTCCTTTGCGGACATCTCACAGCCCCTGGCCTTTTTCCAGGCACAAAACCGCCCCGAATAAGGTTCCGTTCCCCCGTATTCCTTGCGGCTGGTGGGGACTCCCCCTGTGGATTTTGAGACATCTCACCCCACAAGTAATTCAGGAGCTCAAACGGAACCATGTGAAATAGAACCCGCCCAAGGGTGACCTGGTGAGATCGGACGCCCCCAAGGTTTCCTGAAACCGTAAACGCAAAATGCTGGAAAGAGAAGAGCCATTTTAAAAGCTGTGAACAGTGTTCAGTCTTGGAATTTACATTTGGGTAGACTGGGAAAACCTTCGAGTTATGCAGATACAAAGCAAATTCTCACCCATGGCTCTTGGGGGAAACCTGGAAGTCACCTGAATGTACATGTTTTATCCTGAGAATAAAGCACTTCTGTTCAGCAATGAAAATTGGAAGTATGTTCTTGGAAGAGCTAATTCTCTGAAGACTTTGGGCTTATTTGGGGAGAAATACTTATTTTTTGTTTGAATTTAGATTTCATTATGCTTGCTATTATTATTTTGGGATGTGCACATATGTATGTGATGTATGTATATGTATTTGTGATATTTAAGTATTTGCTCAGAGAAGATCTGGAATTGATATGTAGTCACTGGTGTTTTAGTTTGAGTTCTCAAAAAGCAGAGCCTCAGTTACGGTTAGTAAGTGAGTGAATTATTCAGGAATGAACATGGAAGAAAGAAGAATCAATACAAATATATGCTATTGAGTTGGCCATTGCAAGGGGTGAGTGATTCCCCAATCCTCAGGACTTTCTGAGAAGCCTTTAAAATTGTTTTTTTTTTTTTTAAAGGAAGAAGAAGGGGGTAAAATAAGAAAGAGCACGGCAGAGTTTTGCCACATCTGCTAGCAGGGAAGGCTAGGGAGGGAGGGGAGAGCACTCAGAATGCTCTCAGAACCCCTCCCCCCTCCCAGGAATGGAAGGGGTAACCACATACCTGTAAGTCTTTGAACTTTATTGCCAAATGTTGGCCCATCAAGCATGAATTCTCCAGTGCTTCTGAGTTGAGCAAGCATCAGTATGTGATGGTTCCTGCAGGAAGCTCTTATTGTATAGTCAAAGAAGCCCCGAGGCAAAAGTTAGAGGTGTGGCGTACTAGAGTACACATGCAAGGCAAGGCTCGACATATTATTTTATGCTAAATTGATAGATGACTGAGATAAACTAATTACTGTAGCAATGATTACAATAGGAATGTAAAGGGAAGAGTATTTGAAGCAGTGCATAAGAGATGTCCAACACACTGGGCTAGAAGGATGGGAGGCCTGTTTATCGTCACAGTGGAAGTGGCGTAAAAGAGACTGTGAAAAGGACTTGGGTTTGGCATGGCTCATCTTAGGTTGCATGGGATTACACTTAAAGACCCTGATACATATGACTTTGAACAAATTACTTAATTTCTCCAAGCCTCAGTATCCATATATATAAAATGGTCATGATAATAAGCATAGTCACAAGGCTGTTGTAAGGATAAATTGGACAGTGCTTGTGGAGAATATAATACAGTCCTTGTTGTATAATAAGTGTTCAACAAATGTCATCCAGCCCCCACCTTCTCTTTCTCCTCCTCATCACCCCTGCCCAAAGAAGTCAGGTAGTGTGGGTACTTTTTTTTTTTTTTTTTTACAGTGCTGATTTATTAAGAGGAACAGATTTTTTTTTTCCTTCTCCACCACATCCCTTATAATCTTCATCCACAGGCCCCCATTTTCATCTGTCTTCCTGTGCAAGGAGCTCCAAACAGCCACATGTTTGAAGATAGGAATTCTAGGGAGAGGTGATCAATTATCAGAGAAGGATGACCCTTAAGATAAGTCTTCATTTGAGAAATGGACAAAATATTATGTGTTAGATCTGCTGTTTTGGGGACCCAAATATACTTATACAGTTGAGAGCCAGCAAGGCAAAAAACACCCCAAGGATTGTAGGTGGATTGGACAAATAATAGATTATGAACCCAAATGGGTTATTTTTAAATTATATGTTGATTCTGTTGTATTTAATACAACTTAATTAATTAAAATTATTTTCCAAGGGGAAATAGTGAAAGGGAGGAAGGGGAAAATTTTTTTAAAAGGAAGAAGAGGGGGTGAAATAAGAAAGAGCAAAGCAGAGGTTTGCCACATCTGCTAGCAGGGAAGGCTAGGGAGGGAGGGGATCGAAAGAAGTTCCAGCTTATTCAGCTCTGTCCTAAAGGACCAATTCAACTTAATTTGTAATAAAAACTGAATCACAGTAACTTTTAATTATGATTTGTTTTCATTTAATGGCTACTGAAAATTAAAAAATGAAAAACACTATCCTATGAGGACCCTGAAATATTTTTAGGAGAAGGGGGTTTTCATAGGTTAATATGGAACTGCACATTAAAAGCTTAAAATGAGCATATTCTTTGGTCATTAATTATACTTAGAATTTATCTCAACAAAAATGAATAAGGGCATGTACACTAATTTACTATTCATTACAGCCATATTAATAATATAAAAATAAGAAATATATTAAATTTGTATTAATGGAGGTTGCTAAATATATGAGCATGTATGATGGACTTCTATAAGGCTATTAAAGTTGATGGTATAGAAAAGCATTGGTGTTGACATGAAGAGTTGTTCACTAGCTATTTCTAAGTGAAATAATCAAGAAATCAAAAGATTATCTTATTTTTACATAAACATTATATAATTGTATGTGTTTAAAGTATTCACCAAAGTGTTAAGCAGGTGCCATTCTGGGATTCTTTCCAGAATATACTGGGTAATTAAATTATTTTAAATTGGAAACCACTATTCTATGATAGATGCTTCTTTGGCGGGGGGGGGGGGGGAGTATTGGTGAAGGGGGAGAGACCACAGAGAGACAGGCTTCTGTCACATCCATTTCTGAAAAAGTCCCATCAGGGCCAAGTGTACAGCCTGCCTGGCTTGGACAAGGTTTGAAGGCAGAAAGAAAGGACCTGACGTTTTTACCTGTCTTTAGTCTGTAGCACAGATGTGGCCACACCCATTGCTGACGCAGTGCTCCCCTAGGTCACAGTCCCAGTCACCGCTGCAGAGCTCAATGCAGGTGCCTACAGTCGACGAGACCAGCTGAATACATTATGCTTTAGGTACAGGGGCTAGAGAGGACAGCCCTTGTTTAAGGAGCCAGTTACATCTTTTTTTCTTTTAGTTTAATACATAATGTAATTTAAATGATTACTTTCAGAATAACATTCATTAATATCTTATATATTTTATTTTTAAGTTTTTAAAAATATGTTATTGATTTCAGAGAGAGGAAGAGAGAGATAAAAACATCAATGATGAGAGAGAATCATCCATCAGCTGCCTCCTGCAACCCCGCCCCCCCTCCCTGCCCCAGGGGATTGAGCATACAACCCGGGCATGTGCCCTGACCAGGAATCGAACCGGGACCTCCTGGTTCATAGGTCGATGCTCAACCACTGAGCAACACTGGCTGGGCAACATCTTATATATTTTAGTTAAAAATTATACATTCACATAAGCCCAATAAAACACGGACTACTTTAAAGATGTGTAAGAAGGGGACCAGGTGGGGTGTCTACAATGCACTTGCAGATTTCAGAGCAAATCAGTACTATCCTCCCATGTTTCTGTTAGCTTTTGTTGATTTATGATGAGAGGGTTAAAAACTTGTCCCTGCTCACGGAAGTTTGAACACTCATTATATCTGATTTCTTACTATGTACAAATCATAGAGGTAAGTCACTCAGGAAATACAAAGACGTAAGATAGGGTCATTACCTGCAGCCTAGAGTCTAACAATGAAAATAAGACATGTTTAAAGCACTAACGACAAAGCACCTTGTGATAAATGTCCTGAGAAAAGTATATCCAAAGGACTAACGGGGCTCCGAAGAGAGAAGACATTTATTTCCAATTAATCAGAAAAAGGTGAGGAATTTTTAAAGGCAGAATTGAGAGGGGCAGTAGAGTGTTGTGAGAAGAGAAAATAATTACTAGCAAAAGTCCACGAAGGGAAAATGGAACAGGCAGGTTAGGTGCCGTGGGCACAATATTTACGGAGGCATTTGCACAACTCTGAGAACGAGTAGCTTCTTAAATGTTGTGTCCTAGGTGCCTCTCTGCCTCCCTCTTCACCCTGAAATACAAGGAATTCAGGAGGAACGGCAAGCAGAAGGTGGGTAAGTATTAGAAAACTGCTGGAAGTTAAGCAGGAAAAGTAGGCAGGGGACAAAGTTACAGAGGATGGATCTTGGGTACCTGAGGAGTTTGGATTTCATTGGGCAAGCCAAGAGGGAAGCATGATTGCTGTTTGCTTATGAAGGTTATTCTAGTGTCACAGCACAGAATGAACCAGGATTCAACAAGCAATTAAACTTCAGGAGGAAGAGGGGGGCAGGAAGAGCTGCGGAGAAGTTATGGCACAGGCTCAAGCATGGGCTAATCAGGGCTGGAAATATAGCGTGGCAATGGGGGGTGGAAAGGAAGGAACATATGCAAGAGACAATTTCAAAGAACGGGCGATAATTGGCAACCAGTTGCATGGAGGGGAAGTAGAGCAAAGAAGAGAGAGGGGTAAGAGTGGAATCTAGTAGTCTTTGGGAAGCAGAAAGAAATACAGTTTGCGAGTTGGTGGAGGGGGCAAAAATTTGCCAGATGCTGCAGAGGCGAAAGACTTTGGCTCCTGAAGAGAGTAAAGAGATTTGTCAACAGGATCCAGGAGAGAAGTTTCAGTCAGCAGTGATGGGGGCAGCAATGGAGACTCTAGTCAGGCTTCAAGGGGTTAAGGGAAGAAGTATGGGTGGAGAATTAAGATTACTTATTTGAGAATGTCGATGGTGAAAGGAAGAGACTGAGGTGATTAGTGTTCAACATAGTTAAGAACACACTTTCTCTAGACAATCCAATTTATTTGTAGCAAGAGACGAAGAAACTGGTAGAGAGAGAGAGATGCTGGGGAGGTGGAAGGTGGCTGATGAGGGGGTAGAGGAGGAGGAGTGGAGGAGAGTCCAGGTGGAGGGGTGACCCGGGAAAGGAGGCAGAGAAAGTGGAGGCAGAAGAAAAGAGATTCTGCAGTCACAGTGGGTCCCTGCAATGACTCCTTGACTAGAATATTTGTCCTTCTCTTGTTTCTCTACCCCCCGTCCCGCCCCGCTCCCAACCCGCACACACTGGGCCATGATGTCCAACTTTCTGGCTCCCTCATTGAAGAAAACAGGGCTGCATTCTGCCTGGACTCACCCAACAGTTTCAGGGGTACCACCGAAGCCTGAAGCTCCTGTACCTCTGCGCTGAGGGTGATGATGGTCACAAGGAGGAGGAAGCCCACCAACTTCATGGTGCTGTTGGAAGTCTGTGGTATAAATGCAGCAGCAGAGCTGAGTGAGAACAGCTGAAAGGTATTCCCTTCTGCCCACTGAGCTGAAATGCAAGGCTAAGGGTGGGACTAAGGATTGTGGGAGCCTAAGCCCTGCCCAGACTGATAGTTCTTCAGAACACACACGGTGTGCACCCTGGGTCATGCCACGTCGTTACCTAAGCAAGTCTCTGAGCCAACAGGACATCCTCCTCTGATTGACAAATAACACTCCTAAACCAGGAAAGACATGAGTGAGTGAGAAAAGGGGTGGAAGGTGGACACTAACTTTTATTATGTACTTTCATTCACAAATTCATTTTTTTAAAAAAATATATTTTATTGATTTTTTGCAGAGAGGAAGGGAGAGAGATAGAGAGTTAGAAACATCGATGAGAGAGAAACATCGATCAGCTGCCTCCTGCACACCCCCTACTGGGGATATGCCCGCAACCCAGGTACATGCCCCTGACCGGAATCGAACCTGGGACCTTTCAGTCCACAGGCCGACGCTCTACCCCCTGAGCCAAACCGGTCTCGGCACAAATTCATTTTTTAACACAATTACCAAATGTCTTCTCTGGGCTGAGCACAGGCTAGGAATGAGGAATATATCCTTATGGAAATTACAAGCTAGGAACTGGGTGCTAGCTAGTGAGGGTACAGTCCATTCTTTCCTGTCTCCTCTCTATGTTCTGAGCCCTCGAGCCTCTGAGATTGATGGCAGAGAGAGGCAGTAAAAGAGCAGGCAGGGGCGGTCCTAAGTCAGCTGCAAGTGGTAAGGAGGTGACCTTAGTCTCCTTCTGGTTTGGCCTGGTTCTCTCCACTGCTGGGTACCGAGGCAGGTGTGGTATCTTTGCCCATTTGATACTTGTAATTTTCCTAGCATAGATTTCCACCTTATCTTGTCTATGTTTATTTCTGAGAACCCAAACTCCCGATGTTAAACTCTTCCAGGATGTCTGTCATCAGGCAGCATTGGGGTGGAGGGGGGTGGGGCTGCAGTAACCAATCAGTTGGGGAGTGAGCTTTCACACACTCCCTTCTTATAGGCAGTCCTAATCTAGATGAGTGATTTTCTGAAGCACACTTCATTTTTGGGGGGAAAATACGCCCCCTTTCCTTCCCAATGGCAGTGGGGATGGGTGGGAGGCATGGATAACTTTTGGCCATGAACACTGTGTCCCATAAAATGTCTTTTTAAAAAAATACATATTTTATTGATTTTTTACAGAGAGGAAGAGAGAGGGATAGAAAGTTAGAAACATCAATCAGCTGCCTCCTGCACACCTCCTACTGGGGATGTGCCCGCAGCCAAGGTACATGCCCTTGACCGGAATTGAACCGGGGACCTTTCAGTCTGCAGGCCAATGTTCTATTCACTGAGACAAACCGGTTAGGGCCCATAAAATGTCTTAATGGGAGCCAAGGATGACTGGGCTGATTAGGAATGGCAGGACCAGTTTGCAGCCTCTGAATAAGGCCCTGCGGTGACAGTTGAGAGAGCATTATGCTAAGTGAAATAAGCCAGTCAGAGAAAGATAAATATCACATGATCTCATTCATTTGTGGAATATAATGCACAACATAAACTGATAAACAAAAACAGATCCAGAGACAGAGAAGCATTTATCAGACTGTCAAACCTCAGAGGGAAGGTAGGGGAGGGTTGGGGGAAGAGGGAGAGATCAACCAAAGGACTTATATGCAAGCATATAGGCCTAACCAATGGACACAGACAACAGGGGGGCGAGGGCATGATTGGGGGAATAGGGGGTAATGTGGGGATAAGGACACATATGTAATAACTTAATCAATAAAGAAATTTTAAAAATAATTTTATTGGTTTCAGAAAGGAAGGGAGAGGGAGGTAGAAACATTAATTATGAGAGAGTCATTGACCAGTTGCCTCCTGCATGCCCCCCACTGGGGACCTAGCCTCCAGCCCGGGTACATGGCTTTGACTGGAATGAACCCAGGACCCTCCAGTTCACAGACCGATGCTCTATCTCCTGAGCCAAACCAGCTAGGGCTTGGCTTCTCTTTAGACTGTGGAGTACTTGATGTTTCACCGGGGGACCTGGGTCCAAATTCTGGGGCTGCAGGAAGAAACCCTTCCAATTATGCTTCATTTGTCCCAGTTTCTGAAATGCCACAAGTTGGAGGTCCTTTGGGCAAAATATTGACCTCATAAATTGCTAGTACCCTTAGGTGGGTTCAGGGGTACAGTCAGTTTTATGGTGGGTGGTCAAGAGGCCACATAGGCTATACATGGGAGAGGCAGCCAGCCCAGAGGTGATGAAGAGCTTTGGCTGATTGAAAAATGCCTACCAAAAATATATAATTATTCATTTTTAAAAATATGGGTGGGCAGGGAATCCCAAAGGGTTCTGAGCAAACTTTCCTTTAAATCTTATAAAGCCCGTTGCAGATGATGATGTGGACAGAGAAAAGACCTCGTCAATGCCCTTCTGCTCCACGCTCCCTGTCCTGCTGTTAAATATGAAACATAGATAATCCATACGTGTCTTTCTATCGAGACTGTAACACCTGACCAGGAGAGCCTGACAGTGAACATCTTCCCTCTTTGGGAGAGAAGGTCAGCATGGCACAGGGCATGGAGCATTTACCTAAAAGCCAAACCGACATGGAGAAGACTGGCTCCTCTACCCATTAAGAGAGTTGGGCTTGGCTGGTTCTGCTCAGTGGTTGAGCATCGACCTATGAACCAGGAGGTCATGGTTTGATTCCAGTAGGGGCACATGCCCGGGAGGCAGCCAATCAATGGTTCTCTCTCATCATTGATGTTTCTATCTCTCTCTCCCTCTCTACTCTTCTTTCTGAAACCAATAAAAACAATTTTTTTAAAAAAGGAGTGTAACGTTGGGCAAGTCATTTAGCTATTTGGACCCTCTGTCTCTTAATTTGTAAAATTTACAAACAATTCTGCTACTGAGATGGTATTATAGAGCTGTGGTGAGTGTAAAGTGAGATACTACATGTGAAAGGGCCTGTGCATGGTGAGTGTTAATTATCCTCCTCTAACCTATGGCTCCAAAATGTGGGTGACCACAGAGTCTGACACGTCTGCATGCCTACAGAGCCTGTGTAGACGTCAGGACTAACTACAGGGCAGAAACATAAGTGGACGTTGTAGGATGCCATCCTCAAGTATCTCTGCAGGGGAAGGTCATACCGTGGCATTCAGAATGGCAGAGAGCGCCTGGGAAAGGCCCTGAGCTGATTGTCATCTGAACCCAGTGGCGTCTGGCAGAGCCACGCCCTGGAAACACACCTTGCCAGAGGCAGGTGTGTGGTCAGCCTGACCTTTAGCTCTGGCGCCAGGGGTGGGTTTCATTATCTAAGTTCAGCCAGGCGCCAAGAACGGACACAATTATCCAGGTCCAGCCAGAAGTGACCTTTATAAAGAAGCCACAAGAATGAAAAATTACAGCTTGATCTTTAACCATGTTTCACATAATTTTCTTTATCTTAAACTCTAGTAAAACTTCCTGGCATCATACTGTATAAAATAAACACGCTGCGCCAGCTCTGGGTCACTGTCTCTCCATCAGAGAGCCAGCTGTCCCACCCGGCCCCAGGTTTTCCTTTCTGTCTCTGTGTCTGTCTCTTTCTTTCAATTTCTCAATCCCCAACCACCCCTACTCAGGATTTGTGGTTCGCTCTCTAGCCATGCTGGATGGTAAAAGAGAGAATCTTTATACAGAATAGAAGATAGTTGAAATTGTTTGAGAACATGTTATGGGTGTGCTCATGAACCCTCAGTAATGACCAAGAGAGACAGAAGCACGGTGGGATTTGGGGTGTGGATGACCAGCCAGTAAAAGAAGATATCAAAGCTAATATGCCCTCATTCCAATGCACAGGCATGTGAGGCCATGGGCCGCCGGGGTTATAAGATGTGCTAGACGGCAGGGACAAGCAGGCATGGCAGACCATGGCAGAGGCTACGTGGGGCAATCGAGGTGGAAGAGTGAACAGAGAGCACTGGGAGATGGAGCTTGTAGGGTCAGCCCAGACCATCGCTTTTTTCAGGGCTTCTTTGGGAGACCCAGGCTTATCCTCTGCCTCAGGAAAACTCTGAATCAAAGACTACACCCACAGAGCCTAAGTCCCAACTTATCCTAACTCCTAACCACTTCCCAGTCCATGCCACTCAAAGCCCCACATCCCAAAGGCAGGTTTGCTCTCATCATGTTAGGCATCCAGTCCTGCTACATGTCGGTGTACTGCCTTAGAATAGGGTAGCTCCACAGTTGCTTCTGCTCATACACCTTCTGAGTCTTGCCCTAATAAAGGCTGCGACTATAGGCCTGTTATGTGCTACAAGGTCATTTTTTTCTTGACCAAAATCATATTCCCAGAATGCTTGAGGAAATATTATCATGCCCTTTGCCCTGTTTAGATACATGGACATGGAAGGAGGAAAGAAACTAGCTGGCAGACCTTGCCTCTGATCCATCCTGAGTGCCTCGTATTCATGGGCTCAGTACAGGGCACACAGTCCGTTCTGTTCATCCACAGAGGGCCCACTAGAGAGAATGTCTAAATGGGAAGAATGACACAGTCTCAATAATGCCACAGGTAAGATTTATTTTGGACAGAAGCTCTTTAGAATCGGCCACTCCCCCACTTTAGATCTTCATCTTCTGGGACTGCACGTCAAGGGATAGACACTTGCCAGGAATGGTGTGTGGAAAACATTATGCCAAGCACTGGATCCATGCATTCATGAGCAATCTTCTGGGGCTGGTCTCCAGGCACGCTTACACCCTCCATTCTTCTTCCACATGGTCATCCTTTTAAAATATATATTTGATCATGACATTTCCTCTGCTCACCATCCTTTTAAAATATATATTTGATCATGACATTTCCTCTGCTCAGAAACCTCCAGCAGTCTACAAAACTCTTTGGCAAGGTAGCTCATTTCTTTCTGGACCCTGGCTTGGATGATCCTCTACTGAGATGTTGCAACTTCTATTGACCACAATCTCAACCACTTTCCCATCTCCAGTGTAGGACCCACATTTCCCCATCATCTGTACTGCCCTTCCTTACTGTGGCAAACTTTATGCCTCCTTTAAACTCTCCCTTAAATG